CACACCTATGAAGTTTCTAATGCAAGGTCAATTCGTATGTGTGCAAGTTCACAGCTCGAATGTTAGTAAGTCATTTAAATACACACACTGTGTGTTATACATACAGTACACGACAGGGAACCGCTCATGACCTTATGAAGTCTGGCGAGCCTTATGCACACCGGCTCAACAGGCTGAAGCTCCAGAAAGAGCCAGGGGCATGGTTTAAGCTCAAAGGCAAGAGAAAGCTAAACCCCGGGCAGAGGCAATCCAAATTCTAAACAGGAACATCGAGAAGGCATGTCAACCAAATGGAGAGAAACAGGGTGGCTTGCCAACGCCTGCTGTTTCATTTTCCTGCTCAGAACCTCATGATGACCTTCATCCACCACCGAGTATCACCTTTACCCATGAAGTTCATGAGACCCAACTCTGCCCTCTGTTGCTATCTGCAGTGGGATTTCTTGCTTGCCCCACGCTGCTGTCACAGGGCCTTTGCACCTGCCACCTCTCCACCCAGCACTCCCCTTCCAGATCCCTGTGGGACTTCCAGTCTCTGTACAAATGTCAGCTTCACAGCACGGACTTCGCAGACCAGTGGCACCCCATCCTTGTCTACCTTCTTAGCCTTGATTTTCTTCAGCTTGTTTTCTATCTCCTTCCTGCAGATCAATTCCACGGGGATTCATTTTCTCATTGCAGGGTCTGTGTTAGAAGAGGAGCTCAGTGTTGAGGGAGTGCATGACTAAATGCATGAATGCAGAGGAGAGAAGATGGCAGTGGAGCTAACGATGGGTTAGAATCCGTACAGACCATGGTATGGATCTGAGAGAAGCATTAATTTCAGGGAGGCTAAAGCCGAAAATGGATCGAGGCTTTCCAAGAACGCTGAAGACAGTTAAGTAACATGCCTCTCAGTCATTGCAGGCAGAGGAGAGCAATTTCTTGGAAGAAAATAAATCCTCTTTTGTTGGCATTTTTCCTTCAAATAGATTGATCTTCAAGCTAAAAATACTGGAGAGGAGGGAGGAAGGGGAGCGGGAAACCCCAGCGAGCAGAGAGAATGATGGATTACAGGAAATGCCCAACAGGGACAGGGACAGTGTTGCAGAGCTCCCCAAGCTCCGGAGCAGCCAGAAAGCAGCAGCATCGTGCCTCAGGGACAGTATGGAAGTGCTGTTAGAGCTTAGCTGCTGGAAAAATATGGGTTGGCCAGAGAGTCAACAGAACTCAGGTGATGCACCAAAAGCAAGTGCATTACCCTCAAACACACACACACACACACACACACACACACACACACACACACACACACAAGTGTGACACAATAGTAGCTATAGGTTTGCGTATTTCTCTCCATGCCCAATTCTAGGACTGCAGTCTGATGCAAACTATGCATCTGCACATGCGCACAAAGGGTGCACATGGTTTCAGGTTTAAGAACCTCCTCAGGGCAATAGATGGACTCCTCCCATGTTCAGGTCCAGGTTAGGAACATCTAGGCTTTACCTTGTAATTCTGGAGCGAGGCATGGTGGCACATGCCTGTCATCCCAGCGCTTGGGAGGCTGAGGCAGGAGGATCACTGAATTCAAGGTCAGCCTGGACTACATAGTAAGACCGTATCTCAAAAATAAAAAGCAAAAATTTGTGATGCTGGAATCAGCATCATACCTGCTGAATACTATGTTTGAAGACGGATGTCAAGTTCTAAATTTAGTTCTCTAACAAATATTTATGAATGACTACCATGTACCAGTCCCTCTTTATGTCCTACAGACATATTTGCTAAAGTAATCCTTGTAGCTCCCCTTGAGGTAGGTTATGGCAACACGCTCCTGCTAGACAGATGAAAGGAACAAGGTACTAAGACCGTAGGTGACTTTCCTGAGGTCACCCAACCATAGCATTGGAGCCTGTAAGGGGACCCCACAAGCAACGCCTCACCTGCCCGAGTGCTCAGGGATCTCTCAGTACCTATGGAGCCATGAGTTCTGCCCTTCAATTCCAAGTTCAAACTGTTTTCTTGACATTACAGTTCATACTTCCGGCCAGGACATGGCTGGGAACGAAGGCAGGCTTTCAGCAAGGACGCCAGAAGACCTGGATTTGGGCCCACCAACAATGTCCCTCCAAGTAAGGTTGCATCCTGCGTACTGGGGATTAGGACTCCAATATATGAATCTAGGGAAGCAAAATTCAACTCCCAACAAGGGATAATTGTCAGCAAAGAAGCCACATAAGGCTAGGAATTTTCAGTGAGTTAATAAGCCTTCGCCATAGGACCAACAAATGAGAAAGTGAATGAGGAAGGCTGATTCTGGATGGCGCTTTGTAGCAAGCACACCTGCGCCCTTCCCTGGAGAAGTCTGCCGTGTAGTTAGGGAATCTCACTAAGTCTGTGCAGCAAGTAAACAATTCTGACTGCACACACTGAGAAGTACAAACACGTCCTTATTTCCTTTTTTAATTAGACTCGGCAGAGCATCCATCTAAATGCTCAGTAGAGCATCCTGTCAGTGCCTGCGCCTGTAACATTTTGCAAGAAGTCCCCTCTCAGCAGGATCCTCCCACTGGGCCTCCCTCCCCATCATGCTCCGTGGCCACCTGAGCACAGGAAGACCCGGTTTAAAGCACTGCTGAACGACGGAGGATTCCATGGCAGCACCGCCTTGGGGGCTCCATCCAGTGGCAAGAAACATATTTGCAGGACTATGGCCTTCCAGCTGAGAAATCCTCTGCACAAACCAAAGTTTTCTAGAAGACTGGAAGTCTGGGGAAGAGTTTCATAAAGAGAAGAACACAGCTAGTACTTCAGCTGGGACAATAGACGAGAAGCAGGTGCATCTGTAGAAATGAAGTCTAGGTCAAGGGTGATACAGGTAAGCACTTATTAAAGACAGCGTCCAAGTTAGGGGAAGAGTGACAGCAATCAATGCACTGCAGGAATTGGAAAAAGAAGGGTGAAGGGCAGGGTTAAAAGAAGGTGGACAGATTGGGAGCCTGTGGTAAAAGTGAGAGCAGAGGGAGGCTGTGTTCCAGATCCTTCGAGCACTGCTAGTGACATCCCTAACAACAGGCCCAGAGCCTCCCAGGAGGAGGAGCCGTCTGAGGAGCCGACGATGGAGATTTCGGTTGCCAAGCGTGTCCAGTAGGTACCAGTGTGGCATGTCAGGATGGTGACCACACTTCACAACTTTAATCGATGCAGATGCATTGCTTTTGCTAAGGGGCAGGCTGTGCTGGCAGCTCCCAGCACACAGGGTGGTGGAGGCAGCAAGGACTTGCCCTAAGATGCTTATCACCATGGGGACAGAGGGCTCGACCACCTTCCTGTGCTGAGAGGAAACCTAGCCTCATGGGTGAGACTCACCCGGGCCACAGGCAGAGCTAGCTAAATGGACGGGTGCCTAAGGGCCCAGTGGCCTGACCACTGGCCATTTTCCATGGGCTATTGACTAAGTTACAATGGCCATTAAATTGTTGGGGTTCTTTGAGTGTCCCTTTAATGGTGCTGCTGAGATTCTAGCAGTTGAAAGTGTAACAAAGATATAAAACAAAAAAACATCAAATACAGTAGAACAACCTTTGTTACAGTTTATATCTAGATGCACCCCCCTAAGCCTCATGCACTCATAGGTGGATTTGTGGAAGGTGGTGTTCCTGGCTGCTGGGCACCTTCTGCCATGCTGGTTCAGTCCTGGACCCAGCGCACCACCCTGGAGAGAAACTTTTAGACTGGGAGCCAAAGTCAACCCCTCCTCCTTCAAGGCATGGGTGGCAGCTGTTTATACAGTAATCAGGAATGTGACCAAACTAGATCCAAACATATAGCTCCATCAAGCAGGAGCCAGCTCCAGAGAAGACTGACCTAGAGCAGCGTTTTGAGTGTGAGTGTGGCCAAAGGACAGCCAGAGAGCCTGGGCCTTGGGGTTGCGTTTGGAAGATCAGCACACTCAGAAGTGGTTTCGCTTCAGGGAAATCTCCCCGGTATGTGGTGGAGATGCCCACAACTGCAAGCCACATGGTTCCTGCAAGGCCTGGGTCTCCCTCGCCTCATGGTTAACCAAGGACAACGGTTGGATGCAGACTCTTTCTGGTTATTCTAGTCACCACAGAACTTAAAAACTCAAAACAGCCCAACACAAAGAATGTAAAACCTGACACTGAAAGGACCTCAGGACACTCGCTGGGAAAGTCAGCCTGCCCTTCAGCCCTTCCTGTCTGTTAGCTTCCAGCGCCCAGCAGCAATTCCGCATCTTCCAGGGGCAGCCGGGACCTGGCTCCTTCTGCTTGAACACCTTCAGGGCTGAGTGTGTCTACTGGTAAATCCAGCTGTCTGTAGCGGTGATAACCCTTTAGAGCCAAAACTAATCTACTGGACAGTGTGTCTGGACAGCGTAGTGCCCCAAACCACCCATCCTGGCGGAAGTAGAACTGGGGTGAGAAGCCAGGGCCAAGGCTGGCACGGCCTCCCCACCTCCTGCTGGGGAGACTTCATTTGTGCAATCAGGCAATGCATCCCCAGGGAACTAGGATGCCTGACGAAGCTCGAAAGTACATTTCTCCCCCTCCATTATTGTGACTCGACTTCCCACCTTCAACCCCCAGGCACACTAGACTCACTTGTCCAGCAAGGGATCCTATACAGGGCCCAGGGGCAGCAGGGCAAGGAGGCACACTAAGGAAATGAGCCAGTCTGGCCGAATCCACCCCGTGGCTGCAGGAGCCAGGCTCTCTCCCTTGTGTCCAGGCACAAGTTACTCGCAAGGCTCTTTCAGCTTCACATTCATGACTTTAGTGCACCATTTAGGTCTTGGTGAAGTGGGAGTTCTACTCGTTTATAAGCCCACAGATTCCCAAAGCAAGGAAGGACTCACGTGAGGGAAGTTGCCAAGGGTTACTTCCTACCCCATCCACAGGCTGGCAGAGCTCCGTGTCTACTGGGCTGCCCTCGGCCCGGCTCTTCACAAGACCAACTCAGAGTCAAGGCCAAAGAACTCATCCTCAGAGAACAAAGGCTCAAACTGCGAAGTTTTATTTTTAAGACAAAACAAACAGCAGTAACACACATCCAAATGCCAGCACAAGGGTTCACTGGGTTTTGCAAAAGCGAACGTGGTACTTGGGGACCAGATGAGTAGGGGAACCACGGAGAAGGGACCATGGCCAGTGGTGACCCAACCACACATGTGCTTAGCTGGGGAAGTTGCTCCTCGTTTGTGCGGAAACTGACAAGAGTGCGGCGAGGCCAGGAGAAGCGGCAGGTGGGCGACCCCCAAGACCCTTCTCCTTACTCAGATGTTGCCTCATTCTGCTTTCAAGAATTAAAGTAATCAGCAGATCATTTTACAAAGAACTTTAATATCAAAGAACACTTCCAAAAGTGCAAAACAGATTTGAGGTCATGGCTGCAGTGGTACTGGGTAACGGGGGAGCCAGATGTCATGAGGCAGCAGACACTAATCTAGTCACGGTGCTCGCGGCAGGAGTGGCAGCACCACCCTAATAGAGGCTGGTCTTCTTCATGATGCGCAGGAACTCCTGCTCGTTCACCTCTCCATCTCCATCTCGATCGGCTTCATCAATCATCTCCTGTGTGACAGGAAGCACTCGGGTTAGGGCTGTGCAGTAACTAAGGCTGTGTGTGGGACGGCTGCAGGCACCGAGTGCAGAGGGGTCGCCACCTGTAGAGTAGCTTGGTTCCTGGGAAGCTGTTTGCAAAACCAGTCACACCGTCACACGCACCAACTGGGTCATGGATTTGTGAGATTCAAAAAGAATTGTCACTAGAGGGGAAAACGAACACTCGCATTCCTTCAAAGAAGTGCCTCTGCCAGTGAAAAAGAACTCGGCAGAGCCTAGGGGCTCAAAGGCAGGGCCGAATTCTAGACCGAGGCGTTACGCACCTGCAGCTCCTCATCCGTCAGGTTCTCGCCCAGCTCCTTGGCCACACGCTTCAGATTTTTGAAGGATATTTTCCCGGTTTCATCATCATCGAAGAGCTTGAAAGCTTTCAGGATTTCTTCCTTGGTGTCTTTCTCAGACTGAACAAGTAGAGAACGCATGAGCGGGGAAGCCTCCTGCCCTGCAGCCCTGCCTCTGCCCACTGCCACATCCTAGATCTTATTACTAGCTCTGAATTCAGGGGAAGGGGCACGAGCTCGGTGCATATGCCACAAAATCTCAGGAGAACTAGAACATGATTCAGAACAGCCGGTGTGCTTCTCTTGTTCAAGTGTCCCCAGTTCTGAATTCAAGGGCTTGAAAGGGGATGTCCTTCTTGGATTCACTTCCTGACTGCCCCACCCTGTCTCCACTTTAAGGGCACAGGGTCTCAGGAATGACCTTTATGACACAAGTCCTAGGTCACAAGAAAATAAATACCCTCTGAGGTGGAACAAGAGGACAATGTAATAAAATTATTATAAATCCAGAGGTTAAAAAGGAAAAACTGAGGATTGCACCTAAAAAATTCTGTCTTTATAAACCAAAGAGCTACTGCACTCATTTTTAAAATATAGGAGCAGGGAATAAGAGTTACAATTAGGGCGAACCTCCTTAAGCTGGTAGAAAGGGGATCCTCTTAGTGGACAGAGGATGACAGGAAGAAACAGAGGGTCATTTTACTTGTTTGCAAGAGTGCTTGGGGCCCTGAGGACTCTCACAACAAAACAAAGTAGGGTCCCAAACCTCACAACCCAAATTCCCTGAGTGGCACCTGCCAGGAGCTAACAATGGAAAGAGCCCTTGATAAGAGCGATCTGAAACCAAGCTGAAAAGGGGGATTGCTGTACTAGGTGGAGACAGAATGCCGAGCCTCCTACTCTCCTAAAAACCAGCCCGCGGAGAGAAATGTAGGTATGACCAGATGATTTCAAAGCAATACAACTGTTAGAGAAAGACGTATGATCCACATCTTGGGAAACACATCTGGGACCAGGGGTGGGGGGGTCAGCTTTCCACAGGCAAAGAGAGGGAATATGAGCCACACTGAACAGGACCCAGAGGCCAATGAAAGGACAAGGCCTTAGATGCTGTCCCCATGGGGGTGACAGCTTATGTTCTCTCAACCCTTTGTAACACTGCACAGGCTGACACCTGAGAACCAGGGAAGGGCTCCATGCAACCTCAGAAGGGCTGAAAAACCATACCCCCACTGCAGTTCAGAGCACGCTGCTGAAGTAGCCAGCCCTCAGGCTGAGCTGCCCGGAATAAAACACCTGAGGGACAAGAGTTTGGAGTTCCAAGTACGGGGGCTGTGGATTGTCAAAACGAAAAGCATTTAAAAATGTCTGGTGTTTATAGGTTTTGCTGCTTGTGGTTATCAGGTCGACCTATCAGTTGGAGAGAAATAGTAGCCCAGAAGTGAAATCAGCAGCGCGTTTACTACTTCACAGGGGTAAAATGGTTGCTGTGACTTTGGGAGCTGACGCTCAGGTGAAAACACTGTCCTTTATTAGAGGAACTCTAGACTGTACTGACCAGGGAAGCCATTGTCATATCTAGATTGAAATGTATCTGCCGTTAACGTGGAAAATATGCTCACTGTATCAGTTAGCTCACCATCTTCTGAGTCATGACAGTCAGAAAGTCACTGAAGTTCATTTTGCCTGTCCCCTCCTTATCAATTTCGCTTATCATTTTCTTGATTTCTTCTTTCTTGGGCTCAAAACCCAGGGCTCTCATTGCCACCTAGAATGAAAGTGAACCATCTGAATGACCATGCGGAAACCAAGCAGGAGTAAAACTAACTGTTAAAGGTTAAAGCAACTGGCACAGTCATGTTAAAATGCGGAAAATGACAACACTGACCTAATTGATATTTGCAATCAACTTCAGTAACAGATATGCTTGAATTAAAGACAGGAAAACAGCAAAGCACATTGTCCTTTGTTACTTTTTCAGGGAGAAGAGGGCAGAATGGCAACAGAGAGAAGCCCGGGAAGAGGCGCAGGAAAAGCGAGGCCGTCCGGCGCACAGCTTACCTTTAGTTCCTTTACATCGATAGTCCCTGTCCCATCTGCATCAAAGAGATCAAAAGCTTCCCGGATTTCCTGCTTCTGCTCCTCAGTCAGCTCTGGCTTAGGACTCATCCTTTTTCTCTGGGCACTTGATGCCATGTTTGCCTTTTTAAAATTGGAGGCCTTTAAATGTTAAACACATGAGTACAATATTCAGTAATGCAAGTCTTACGTAAGACAGTTTTAAACACTCATGTATATTTTTTAAATAGTTTATACCAACCAATTCCCAACCTCTGCTAAAGTGGAAAGATAACAGCTTGCTGCACGCCAAGGAGGGGGGGTGCTTAAAGCTTTCCACAAACTTCTACTCCTCTCTTTTCTTTCCTATGGCTTTTAGAAGTGAGGAGACCCCTTTTTCTTAAAAGTCATCCCCAAAGAGAGCTGACCAAGGAACTGCCTCTGCACAACTAGAGAGGCTCTCCTCTCCCTGAACTTGGGCCCTGATTCTGCAAGTACCCTTGCAATGCCCACTCGCAGAACTCTGCTTCGCACGACGTTCTTAACTTTCAAATTACTTATAAATTTGGCCAAATGTTAAGCTATATAAAACCCAATCGATTAGCACCTTAGTGCTTTCTCCAAGAAGACCAGAGCAGTTCCTGAACGCCCCAGGCTGAAACTGCAAAATGTACATTAAGGATCAACATAATAAATCTCCCAGCTCTGTGCAGAAAACTTTGGCAGTGAGGTGGCCAGCAGGCCAGAGTCTGCGAGGGGTCGGGGGTCACGGAGAACCTGCGATTTCTCCGCACAGAGAGGGGGATCCAGGGGATTCGGGGAAGGCCAGAGGCGCCCGCGGGCTGGCGCGGCGCCAGCGGCGGGTGAGGGGGAAGGGATAGGAAACGAAGGCCCAGTCAGGCGCTGGCATCTCCAGTCTCTGCCCTACTCTTCCGGGCTAGAGCTCCAAGAAACACCGAGGTCGCCAAACCAGAGCAAAAAGCAGGAGAGGCGGTGTGGCCGGACCCGGGCCTGAAAAGAGCTTGATCTCGCGGCCATGGCGCGAAGCGGCTGCCAGCACTCACCATCGCCGACGGACTCCTAGGCCGTTGTTACGGCAACGGCGTACTAGCCGACCAGGCGCCGTTCCCACCCACCCGTGCGCGCGGCCTCGCTTTCCATTGGCCCAGGGCCGTAGTGGGTGGGACTCACCTGGCAAAGCCCGGGCTCAGGCCAGGGGGCGTGCTCTAGCGGCGGAGAACGGGCACCATTGGGCAGAATCATGCTGTGAGCACCGACTGGCTGAGCCGGCGCCAGGCCAAGCCAATCCCCTTGGTGAAGGAAGCTCGGCTGATGCTCAGCTCACCGGGGCGGGGAGTAAAAGGGAGGTAACCAGGATTAGAGCTTGGCGGGTACCGGCTGCGGAGAAGCTGAGGCTGGCCGGAGGGCGCACACTGACAGGTAGGGGTGGTGGCCTTGCCCCTAGCCGCCGCTTGGTGTCGGCTGCAGGGCAGGACGAGAAGACAAGGTCTTGGGGTCGGTGCTCTCAGAGTTAGAAGCACCAGAGGTGTCACCGTAGCCGCCACCCAAGGCTCGAGGCGAACGGAGAGGAGCATTGTGGGCCGGGCGCTCTCCGGAGCAGAGTGGCCAAGATTTGAGCAGTGAGGCCAAGATTTGCGCAGTGAGAGGGGACCGTTTGGGGGCTGGGGATTTAGCTCAGCGGCATAAGCACCTGCCTTGCAAACAGGCTGTCGTGAGTTCGATCCCCGGTACCGATAAAAAAAAAAAAAAAAAAAAAAAAAAAAAAAGGACCGTCTGCCGGGCTGTGGGCCGGGCCAGGGCTGGCCACGTGGAGCCGGCGACCTGCGGTCCGCCCTCCTCCCCCGGCTCCTGACTCTCGCTTCCCCGGCTTCTCCTGCAGGCTTCAGGGCGGTAATCAGAGAGCTCGGGGACAGCGTAGTTTCTTGGGCTGGGAAAGACCGGAGACCGCCTAGCATCCCATAAATGCAACATCTGCCCTTTGCCCTCTTGCCCTCTGGGCAGTGAACAGGGTGAAACACCTTTCCTACTGCTTGACACTTTCCTTTCCCGCCCCATCCTGTCCTCTCCTATCCAGCTTCCAAGTTCTGTCAGCTCCAGCCCTGCAGTGCCCCCTTTTCCGCCTCCCTGCTCTGTGGCCTCCATCAGCAGCCCCTCAGCTTGTCGTGTGAGTGGTGCTCTCCCATGGGCCGGGAGCTTGGCCTGGTGTGCCACCCACCCACACCATCAGCCCCACGACCTCTGTCCTCCTCCTCCTCCTCCCTAGCCCCTGGCTGCAGCCCCAGGACACTCCAGGTGCCAGACACACCCCTGCTTGGAGCTTTTGCCCTCACTGGCTCTTCCACCTGCTGGGCCTCCATCTGTGAGTTTCCCACAAGCCACCACCTTTTCTCTGAGGACCCCCAAGCACTGTGTAGTGCTGAGCCCCATTCCCACCAGGCCCCCAAACCCGACAACTTGCTCTGCATTTTCCCCTGGCGCTCATCACCTGCTCACCAACTGCAGATTGTCCTTATTTGGTCCTTTGTTGCCCCCTCACCGGAAAGCAGGTGCTGTGAGGGAAGCACTTGTGTTCTGTCCACTGCTGACATTGCAGTACCTGGAAACCTGGAAAAGGAAGGGTACATACTAGGTGCTCAGAAAACCCGGATCAAGTGACTGAGCCTGTCCTGCCTATTTCCCGTTTCTCACCTCTGCCTTCCCCCTGCTCCATCAGGTTAGTCTTCCCAGTGCACAGCTCTGCTCAGATCAGTGCCCTGCTTTTAAAGCTTTGGCATCGTTTTCTGGAGAGTAAAATCCCTGTGAACTTCTGCCCAATTTTGCCTAGCTTTGTTCCTCCGTACCCTGTCCTATAGTTTGGCTTTTCAGTGCCTCCCAAAGGCCCATAGTGCTATCAAGAGGCAGGGCCTAGTGGAAAGAAGTTAGGTCCCTGGGGCAAGTCTGGGAGGGAGTATTGGAGTCCTAGTCTTTCCCCACTCTCTTTGTACTGGCCTCAACTCACAGTACACCTCAGCTGTGAACCACAGAAAACCTGTCCTCCATTGAAATTGACTGTCTCGGGCACTTTGTCACAGTGGCAGAGAGCTAACACACTTTGTTTCCCAGGCGGTCCACAGGGTAGCAGCCCAGCCAGTGGAAGGAGCACATGCAAACCCTGCCTGGGCTATGTGCTGGCCGCTTGATTCTGGACAGGTCCCTTGGCCTCTCTGAGCTTTGGTTCCTCATCTGTTGAGTGTGACCAGTGCTGTCTGCCTGATTGGATAATGTACTCACATGGGAAAAAAAGTCCTGACATAGCGCAGGTCCCAGGCAGTGTTCATTCTTGTCAGATTTGCTCATGCACCCCACCTGCTGCACTGAGTGGCCTGCCAGAAGGGTACCCAAAAAAAACCATTCTAAACTGGGCATCTTCTGTGTCCTAAGCCTAGACAAGCAGAGAACTCCGACAGAAACATACAGACCTGGCAGGCCAGTGGCAGGCCATGGAGGAGCTGGCTTGTGGCAGTGTTGTCAATTGCCGCATCTTTGATTTCTCAAAGAGGAGACGCACTTCCTAAAAGGATGGGACACTCACCTCTCTGTCTGGTTTGGAAGAAACAAATTGTCTCCAGGAACCAGTGGCCTGGAACATTCCCCAGCAGGAAGGAGGGTCTTACTGACCCTACCAGCAGCCCCAAAAGTGGTCTCTTGGATTTCTCCAGTATAATATGGTCCTCTTTTCCTAGATTTCGGTTAGCCTAAGACTGTCCCAGTGTCTGTGGTAGGTACATGCGGGTTGTAGCATGCGGCAGAACTTCACTCTATTTTATGGCTGAATGAGATTCTGCTGTGTATTTAGACCACAGTTTGCTTTTCCATTTGTCCCTCAGTGGGCGTCGGGTTGCTTCCCACTTTTGGGCTGACGCTTCTGTGAACAGGAGTGTGTAAATACCTGCCCCAAGCCCCTGCTTTCCTTTGGGTGGGGGCATATGCGCACACGTGCACTGCCGAGTCAGATGGTAGCTGCAAGTAGGACTTTTTGGGCACTGCCGTGCTGCTTTCCACGGTGGCTATGCCGCTCTGCGCCACCATCTACCATCGCAGTACACGAGGAGGCGTCTAGCTTCTCCACGTTCTCACCACCACTCATTTTCTGCTTTCTGGCTTTTGATGGCAGCCATCCTAATGGTGTGGGGTGTGAGGTCGTGTCTCACTGTGGTTTGGACTTGCGTTTCCTGGGTGCTTAGTGTTACTGATCGCCTTTCGTGTGCCTCTCAGCCATCTGTGAAGAATATCTTCTTTGGAAGTGGATCAGTCTTTGCCCATATTTCCTCCAACCTGAATAACACACATTATTATTTAGGTGGGTGGACCAGGGGACAGGGGTTGCTGATGGGATTTGATTCATTTTCTAGGCTAGACCTGCATAGCGCATGCCCCAGAGACAACTAAGCTATCACCCCAATTATCTGACTCATATTATTTACAAACTTTGAAGAATTAGTACGTAATTGGAGACAGCCGTAGGTTTTTGTTTTGGCAGGAGGCTGGTTTGCGAAGAATAGTGTGATTGTTGTTTGAGTGGTACCACTGCACAGGGGCAGGATCTGTTTCTTCTTTTCGCCTCCTACATCCTCTTCTAGCAAGCCAGGAAGGGAACAGGTGCTATAGTCAGTGACCTACTTTGGCCAGCAGTGCAGGGGCAGCTGGGGACTGGCAGCTGTACTCTTTCTGTACTACTCAGGCCTGCAAAGGATACTCAGGTTCATCCCCTGGGTACACTGTCACAACTGACCAAAAACTGCATGAGTAGAGGGACAGAAATTGATTCTCTCCCAGTTCTGGAGGCCAGAAGTCTAACGCCAAAGGGTCACCTGGTCTGCTGCCCCGTCAAAGCCTCTAGGGGAGACTCCTTCCTTGCCCCTCCCATCTTCTGTTGGCCTGGGCATGGGCATTCCTTGACTTGTGCCACACCCCAGTCTCTGCCTGCGTCTTCTCACAGCATCCTTCTTGTCTTCTCCGTCTCTCCTGTGTGTGTGCCTCTTGTAAGAACGCCTGTCCTTGGGTTTAGGATCCACCAGAATAACCACCCCGTCACCCCTGCATCTCTGGCAACACACCGGTGAAATCTCTGTTTCGCCCTTGTTAAGAACTTAATGAAGCACTTTGGGCTCATTCTTTGTCCTTTTCCAGAGGAGGCTGTAATCCTCCTACCCGGCTTGGTTTACCAGTCTCACGCTCCTTTTTGTGGTGCTGGGGATTGAACCCTGGCCTTGCTGTGTCACTGTACCTGGTCATATTGCGTCTTCATCCCCCCGTTCACGTGCCTTTCCGAACTTCTCTGTTGTATGTGACTCAGCGAGCCCCTTCCAGGCCAGCTTGCACCGAGCAGCAGAGGTGTGAGGCGGCAGAGGGATTCCCTGGGAACCTCCAAGGAGGCGGGAGGCGAGCGTGCTGCAGAGACCTGAGATGTGTGGCGAAGATGCTAATTGCTGCCTTTAATGGAGCAGTAGCGCACACTTGGCACTGCACTGGGGGCTTTGCATACATTTTTCTCATTTAATTTTGTTTGCCCTCCTAATGATCTTGTGAGACTATTCATTTTACAGATGAGGAGGCAGGCACGGGGTCTCTGAAATCACGGCCCAGAGCGATTCCTGCTGTCGAGAGGTGGAGCCAGGGCTGGACCCCACCAGCTGCAGTGGAGAGGGGAGCAGCTGGGCTTTGCACAGGCAGTGGGGGGTGGCGGCCGGAGGGCAGAGGCCACAGGGAGTGGGCCAGTCTGGGGATCCCACAGGCTAGTGGGCGGACCACTGCCTCATCAGCCCCTACTAGCAGAGGTCCGCAGGCATCTTGGTGGGGTGGGAAGCTGGATGCGAGGGGCCCCCTTGACCCCCTTAGTGCCGTCTTTCTTCTCATTTGCTTGCTTCCCTGAGACCCCGGGGAAGGTAGGTGAGAAGCCTCCAGAGGGCATCTTGGGGCACCACCACCCCATGAGCGAGGCTCCTACCCGCAGAGCCTGTGGTGGGGAGTGGGCAGCTGGCAGGCGTGCACTGAGCCCAGCCCCTTGAGTCGGGTTGAACAGATGATGGGACCCCGGCAGCGTGCAGGGGACTGTTCAACAAAGGAGAGGAAAGGACAGGCACATAAATAAACACAAGGCGACTTTGCTTACTCATTAGATGTGTTACACGAAGGCCCAGAAAAATGTAAGTTTTGCAGTATATTTTCCTGATAACGTCTGCTGTGAGTTCAGGAAACACCTCCCCCCCTCTAGGGTCCCATTGGACCCCGGCTCCCGGCCAGTTCAGCCTTTGGTCTGCCCAGACTCCGTGTGCTCTGTAAACCAGTTCTTCCAGGGACACGTGACGCCCACTGGTTGAAAGTGGCAAGTAAAAGGCTCCAGCTGTGCAACCGGATCAGAGAAGTCACAGTGTTTGAGACCCAGTGCTGGCTGCCAGCCCGCCCACTGGTGTTCCGTGAACCTGTCGCTTCTTCCTGGTGGCTTTTGCAATCCCTGCATCTTAGGGGATCCATGACTAAGTCAATTAGTCCCTACCAAGAAAACATAGATACAACACATCAAAAATTTCTTAAGACTTCCAAAAGTCACCTCAGAATGGCTTGCAGTGGGTTGTTAGGTGAAGGAAGGTGTGGCCTGATGCGTTGCTTGGCTGAAGTCATCCTCTCTGGGACAAAATACATGTGTTTTCTTTCAGCTTGTCACACTAATGAAACCATACAATGTTTATATGTGTGTGACATATATATTTCACTAATTAGTATGTTCTCAACGTGTATCCATTTACCTATAAAAATGTCCAGTTTACTATTCTTTGTGGCTGAGTAGTGCTCTGCTGTATAGAAATACTACATCTTTCTTATCCATTCCTCAGTCAATGGGCATTTAGATTGTTTCCAAGGTCTGGCTATTTTGATGTGCTATAAGGTTTGGATTTTTTTGCATGTGGATATCCAGTTGTTCCTGTACATTTATTGAAGGAACAATCCTTTTTCCACTTAGTTGCTTTTGCATCTTTGGAGAAATCAATTGTCTGTTTTGGGACTTCATATTGGTACCTTGGTTCTTTGTCTATGTTGATATCAATGCCATTCTGTCATGATTGGTGGAACTTTGTGCTAAGTCATGGGACTGAGGAGAGCTGTAGCTCTAATTTTGTTCTGTATCAAAGTTGTTTAGACTATTCTGAGTATTTTATATTTCTACAGAAATGTAAGTATCAAAATGTTAATCTATGTAAAATGATATTGATATTTTGATAAGGGAAAAAGAAAAGAAAACAGATACAGAGCCAAATACCACATACATGAATGGCCTCTTTGTGTTTGTGATTCAGTGCAGTGGGTAAAGGAAGAGGTGTCTGCATGCGGAGTTCTACCCTCAGCCCCTTTTTTATTTTGAGACAGGGTCTTGCTGGGTCACTAAGTTGCCCAGACTGAACTCAATCTTGTGACCCTCCCGCCTCAGCTTCCCAGAGTGCTGGGATCACAGACATGCACCACCCTGCCTGGCAAGGATGACTGAACCTCAGCAAGGAAGAGAATTGTGTGTCTTGTACTCTGCCCACCACCGGCTGCACTGTCCCTGCTATGACATCCCAGAGGTGAACACTCAAGTCCATTTCATTGATGGGCAAACTGAGAGAACCACACCCAGGACCCAGGACTCCCTGGAGCACCTAGGAGGAGGCAGTGTCCATCCCCAAATGCTAATAACTAAAGTTGTTTTCGCTTGTGTAATGTTAGTGTCCATGTCTAAATTGTCTTTAGGACAGAGAAAAGTTGCTTGCAAACAAGACCATAGCTTGAGCCATCATGGAACAAGCAGTCAGCGAACCAGTGGGAGACCAGGTCACACGGATGCGTTTGACAGGGGACATGGCCAAAGTGAGTACTGCTGTAAAAACAGACACCCGCAGTCAGGTAGCAAGCCATCGATATTTTGCCTATGTGTTAAAAAAAAATGTGTCTAGGGGCTGGGGATTTAGCTCAGCAACATAAGCGCCTGCCTTGCAAGCAGGCAGTCGTGAGTTCGATCCTTGGTACCGATAAAAAGAAAAAAGACAAAAGAAAATGTGTCTGATTCATTTATTAAATCAGTTAGTGCTGGGTATGATTAATGGAAGATGCATAGCTTATTAGGATTGGTCGGCTGCTTTTTACTGTGCAGTAGACAGCTCAGCGCTCTTGCAAGGCATCTCCCACGCTTCTGTGGCTGAAACTGTTTACTAGCTGGAATCTGCGAAATGAAGATTTTATTGCTATTCAGCAACCAAAAAAGTCACAAAAACTGGGATTGTCATCAAGTTCCGAATTTGTGACTTTTCAGAATACCTTCTTTTTTTCTCATAGATTGAATTTCTAGGAGAGAAAAATTCTAACAGTAAGCTACTGAAAGAGAATGTTCGCATCTAGACTTATATTCATGTTTTTGGACAAGACTTCCTGGAGATAAATTCTGCTAAAGGCAAAAGAAAACTGGAAGGGCTGGGGGAAAACCTAGTGGCCTACATCATTCTCTTACTTGTTATTATTAAATTATTATTAAATACTGTACATTTATTATTAAACATTATTTGCACATTATGCTGAATAGGAGAGGATTGCTTTTTATGAGTCAGTGCAGGCTAGAAGATAGATGATCAGTGCACTATGGGCACATTCTAAAAGCATTTGCAATCAGCTAAAGTTTTATTAACAAAACTAAGCCCAAACCTGTACACCCTTATTTTACAGGGACTGTTTTGTACAACTGGCCAAATATTAGACATGTAGTAGATATGTGTCTTTAAAAGTAAACCATTCTAAAATGACTAGGCATTTTTCTCCGTGAATTATTTTTACTTTCTTAGGAAATAATGTTGGGATCAGACTTACCCATTTTCCTCCCGAGAGAACACAAGACTTGCAGTGAGTTGTGTGTAGATGATCGCTTTTGTGAGAAAAGGAGCAGCTAGGCAAGCCACAGGCATCACAGGCTCTACCTGGCAGGCTAATAAAACTGCAGGTTTGTCATATTAAACCCCAGATGAAAGCCAAGCATGGTGGCACATGCCTGTAATCCCAGCACTCAGGAGACTGAGGCAGGATTGCTGTGAGTGCAAGGCCAGTTTGGGCTATAAAGTAAATTGTAGACCAGCCTGAACTGCATAGCAAAAACCCTAGCTCAAGTTTTAAAAACGCCCAAGGGAAGAGGGGTATCCGTAGACCTCCTTTGGGAACACTTAGAGCCAGTTTCTTCAACAGGCAACAGCCAGTGCATTTTGGTCTCTAGGGGGAGTGGCCTTGAGGAGCTGAGCCTGCACTGCACCCCACCTGTCCCCAAGCCAACCGTGTACAGAAACACCTCAGTGCTCCTTAGCCCAGTGTGTTTGTACCCCCAAGAGTCTGTCAGGGCTGAGGCCAGAAGGGGCACACAGTCAGTCCTGTCTGGGGTGTCTGGGGCAGAGGACTGAGTTTCCTGTGTGTGGAGACTGTTTCTTTCTGATGTTTTGTGCGCAAACTCTCAGATGGTTTGTTTTGTTTTGTTTTGCCTTAAGTGAGAGCAAGAAGGTGTCACCTTTGGTTTCTTTCCCTTTTTCCCAGATGGGCCAGTTTGATCCTAGGCAGTTGAATTTCCTTTCCCTAACTACAGAGCTTAGAATGTGCTGTCAAAGCCAATGAGCTCTATCTGAGCTCTATCTGAGGGTCGGTTCTCTCTCTCTCCCATTCTTGCTGATCCCAAGAGAGGAGGTGGCACTGGTGACAGAGCACTGGAATTACATAAAGCTTCTGCCAGGGCTCGTCCTAGCTCCTGGTCCCTGCCGACTTGGCCCTCCTACCACCCTCCTCTTTCTGCAGGCTAAGAAGTGCACGGTGATTGGAGGTTCGGGGTTCCTGGGCCAGCACCTGGTGCGGCAGCTGCTGGCCAGAGGCTACAGCGTCAACGTGTTTGATATCCGCGAAGGCTTCAATGATGCCCGCGTGCACTTCTTTCTGGGCGACCTCTGCAGCCAGCAGGTAAAGAGCTCACAGTCACTCGAGGGAAGCCACACCGGTTGCCATGCTCAGAGACGGGCCAAATGGCTGTTCAGAGGTGATTCCTTTCTTTTGAAAAGTCAAGCAGTTATAGGAAAGACTTTAACATCCCTCATTATTGCTACTTAGAAGAGTAACTTCTGCATCACAGAAGTGGCAATATCCTTGGTCCATACTTTAAAGAATAGGTGTGGCTGTGTGCCAAGAAAACATGACAGAGCCAGGTGTGGTGGCTCATGCATGTCATCCCAGCACTTAGGAGGCTGAGGCAGGAGGATCACTGCAAGTTTGAGGCCAGCCTGGGCTACATAGTGAAACCCTGTCTCAAAAGGACAAAGAAATATATAAATAACTAAAAAGGAAAACAGAAAACTAGAGATTTGACTTAGAGCAAAGGCCCTGGGGTTCAATCCCCAGTACTGCCAAAAGAGAAAAGGCAACATGACAGAAGGCTACTCAGGATGTCAAGAGGGTACACACAAGCACACAGGTGTCCTTTGCCTGGGTTCTGACTCACACCCCATCACCCCATCGACTGTCCAGCCAGTCCCCTTTCCAGCGCTCACCACCTTGATGGAAACCCTCTACCACGCACTTCCTGTTTTGTCTCGCTGTCTCCCCCAATCTCCAACACCCAGTCATTAGCTTCAGTCACTGATTCTTCCTGTTCTGGAAATTTCCTAGATAGTAACAAGGGTCTTCATGCTGAATTACACCCCTAGCCCTTTTTATTTTTTATTTTGAGATAGGGTCTTTCTAAGTCACTGAGTTGCCCAGGCCGAACTCAAACTTGTGATCCTCGTGCCTCAACCTCCTGAGGTACTGGAATCACAAGCAAGTGCCAACTTGCCTGGCTAAGATGACTGTAACTTAGCAAGGAGGAGAATTGTGTCTCTCATACTCTGCTCAGTAGCGTCCTCTGATTACTGGCACTAGCCAGAGCAGCACACATGCAGTGCCAGCCAAGATCACCGGGCACTGGAGCTGGCATGTCAGAGCCCTGCCCTAATGAGGGCCAGTGCCTCTCCCTACCAGGCTGCAGAGCTTAGGCCTATGACCACCAAGCCCACCCTGCCTGAGTTGCCAGCCTGAAGCCACCACCTCCTCCCTGCTCGGCAAGCCCACAAGGCATTCCCTGCCTCGCCCCAACCAGCAGTTTCCCTTTTCTGAGTCCTTGTTTCCTCTTCCCCCTCCACTGTCTCATGCCACTGCCACACGTAAGTCTTCTCCAGACAGCCCCTGGTATAGCCACGAGGGAAGTGAACATATCTGGCAACTGAGTCTCAGCCCTCTTGCGACTTAGCCTTTGGCACTGGCTGGTACCAAACCGATCATTGGACTGATTTAGCAATCACCACTCTTAATCCTAGCATTGCACAGTGAATTACTAAAACATACTATATTCATCCACCTCGGAAAAAACCCACCTATGACTGTATGAGGCTTTGGGGGGACATTTACACATAATCCATAACAATGAGTTTCTCAAAAAGCAAAACCATGCATATTAACCTGTGCCTGATTTAATCACTTAACCATATGGCCTTAAAATCCATTCATTTCCCTACAGATGACTCCAGTTCATCCTTTTTATGTCTGCATAACATTCCACTGTGTATACATACCACATTTTCTGTTTCTATTTATCTGTCAGTGGGTGTCTCTGCTGTTTCCATAGTTCAGCTATTGTGAATTATGTTGCTATAAACTGGGTACACCTGTATCACTGTATATGTTTCTGAACTCTCAGATTATTTTGAAGCCATTCATAAAAATTCCTTAATATGAGCCATGGTTCAAATAACCCTGAATGGCTTATAGATTTTTAGTATCATGGTTTGTCTAAATAAGGCCACAGCCTAAGTCAAGACTAAGCATTTGGCTGAAACATTTAAGTCTGTCTTGATTTTCAGGATCCCTTTATCTTTTTGAAATTTCTTGTGTTTGGAAGAAAGCTAATGTTCAAATATTGAAAGAAAGGAATGTAAATAACTCATTAATAACTTTTGTATTGGCCAGGTGTGGTGGTGCACACTGTCATCCCAGCACTCAGGAGGCTGAGGCAGGAAGATCGCCATGAGTTCTAGGCCAGCCTGGGCTGCATAGTGAGTTCAAGGCTGACCTGAACTACATAGCAAGACCCAGTCTTGTAAAACCAAAACAATATGTAAATAAATGAATAACTTTTATATTATGTTAAAGTCATATTTTACATAGATGCAATAAATTTAATTTCACCTGTTTTTTTAATTTATTTTGCAGTACTGAGATTTAAAAGCCAGAGGTGCTTGACCACTGACCTATGTTCCTAGCCCTTTCTATATTTTGACCTTGAGACAGGGTCTCATTAAGTTGCCCAGGCAGGACTTGAACTCACATTCCTCTTGCCTCCACCTTCGGAGTAGCTGGGACTACAGTCCCTTGCCCACATCTCACTCTTTACTGTCCTCATGCAGCTGTCACACATGTTGCTGCTAGTATATTCCTGTGAGATTAAGGACTCGATCTGCATCTGGTTGTTTTTCCCTCTAATGCACCGTGACCGGGTCCCTGCGAGGCAGCTGCCTACGTGTTGTAGTGTGTGTGGGGGTGTGTGTGTGTGTGTGTGTGTGTGGGCGGTGTTTGCCTGGCCATCTGCACATACATGCTTTCCCTACAATTCCTGGTTCATCCCTCCCTCCCCGAGGTGTGCTATAGAAGCTAGACTTTCTCTCCTTTTTGAGACAGGATCTCACTCTGCAGTTCACGCTGGCCTTGAACTCACTTTGTAGGTTGGTTTGGCCTCGAACTTGGAGCTGTCCTACTGCCTCAGCCGCCCGAGTACTGAGATTACATGCTGGGCTTGAATTTCTCCTGCTAAAGATGGGTCGTATACTCTGATTTCCCCCAGCCGTACAGGGTCCTGCTGGGTTGCTCCATCAGCCTGTCAGCATGAGATAGTACACGCCTCACCCCTGGCATCTTTCCTCTTCATTGGTCGTGAGCACACGTAGGGCATCACCACATTCTGTGAGCCACTTGAGCAAACTCGGTCACCCGAGCTGAGCAGTGAGATGGAGCTCCGTGGAAGGCCCTGCCTTGCATCACCAGCATCACCAAAAGAAGAAATCTTGGAGCAGGTCTCTCAGGGTCCCTGCTTTGCAGCCAGTTTTCTGCAGCACGGGTAAAACTGCCTGGCTCTTGAGCTGGCAGAGCGGGCATCGGGAGCTCCGTGGCGGGGACTGAGTGGGATTAGGAGCCACCCGCCGCCAGTGACTACCTACGCTGTAGCAGCGCTCCCTTGGGCGGAAGGTTTCACAAGTGGTCCGTGCTGACTTGGGGTATCCTCATAACCCCAATGGCAATATGCACTCCCAGTGGCCTTCTTGGGACCAAATTAACACGGGCCCATCAAAGGACAAAGGAGCCAAACTGACGGCCCTCCACTGGCCACATTTGGGACAGGCTGTGTTTCACAGACAATATTGGCAGTAGATTATTGCGTATTGGATTTTCTGAAAACTCATGTGTCCATAGAAATGCTGAAGAGAAAAATGAGGATGGGGATGGCAGGCTTTACCACCCGGGGGGTGCAGCCGGGAAAGGCAGCTCCTGATGGGGTACAGCAGCGAAAGCCCAAATCCGCCAGTGGCACCATCAGCTCACAGATTACCCGCCAGCTGCAGGGGGAAAGGGAGCTTATGCACAGCCAGGCTCTGGCAGTGACTGCCTTTCACCAAGCAATCCAGCTCACTGTCCCCAGTGTCAGGACAGGTGTGTGGCCCTGAGCTCTGCCGCTCTGAGAAGGACATGCCACCACCAGAGCTGGGTTCTTGCCAGATCCATTAAGCCTGAATGTAACCTGGAGGAAACACATTAAATGTGGAATAAGGATGGTCTGGAAAATAGGCAGCCTGATCCCTTGAAAAATGGCAGTGTTACAGAAGACAGGAAATTTTTCCAGATTAAAGTGCACAGAGGAGACAGAAAGTCAAAATATAGCGCGTGACTGGAGCCTGGACCCTAAATTCAGGACAGCTGGGGAAAGTCGGGTATAAATACTGTGTAGAGGATCCGGTCTGTTGGTGTTGGTGTTGGTGTTGAGATCATTGCTTTGTGCTTGTGTAGAGAATGTAACTCATGCTGCTTGCTTTTGGTGATGACCATGAAGGTGCTTCTGTCCTTCTTCGATTGGGGACTAGCTGATGGGAAGGACACATGTGTGTCCCCAGTGTGTGAATCTCTATGAGAATGTGCTTTTGCATGGATTCTAGAGTTATAAACAGATAGGGGTCCTACCAGCCCCCGTTGGAGGTCGGGAGCATGACCAGTGACTCCGCTGTTATTGTGTGCTTTGCCAGGACCTGTTCCCGGCTCTGGAAGGCGTGAGTACTGTTTTCCACTGTGCATCGCCCTCGCCATCCAGTAACAACAAGGAGCTCTTTTACAAAGTGAACTTATCTGGCACCAGGAACGTCATCGAAACTTGCAAAAAGGCCGGGGTTCAGGTAAGGGGAGCGTGCAGGGAGGGGCCTTTGCTGGCAGCTGGGATTTTTTTCCTTTCTAAGGCTACATAAAACTTCACTGATTGAAAAAAAAAAAAACTTCACTGATAGAGGGACCGCATTTGGTGCATGTGTGCATCTGTCCATCTGTGGACTTGTGCATGGGTTCCCTTCCCATTTGCGTGCAACTATGCAGATGGCCGTTCAGACCCCACTCAGAGTCCTTTGGGGATTATAGCTTGATGTGATAATCATATTTAACCACTTCCCTAGCCCTTACCTTTTTTTTTTTAAAAGAGAAACAACCCATATTTGCCCATGTCCTATGGAAACCTGTCATGACTCAGCCGGAGCGATCTCAATTTCCACCATGTGGAAGCTTGCCGTGCTGGTTGCCTGGGCTACTGTGGGTGACAGCAGTGGTGACTCTGCACTGTATGCCCCCTCCTGTTTTTCTCCTCCTTGGGTCACTGGGGCATTGGAAGGTGCTTTGCTTAGACAGCGGCCTGCCAGGTGGATGTCACAGTATGCAGCCACTGGGGCCCTGGGGCAGTCCAGGGCACCCTTCCTTACGAGCTGCTTGGACATGTCACCCTCAGCAACATCTTCGAAACTCGACTGGCTCGTCTCAGCCCTTTATTCTTCCACATACATTTTCTGCAGGAGAAAGGTTTGAGACAGGGTCTTGCTGTACAGTCTAGCATGGCCTTGAACTCACTACGGAGCCCAGATTGGCTTCGAAGTCTTGGGCTCCTCCTGCCTCGGCCTCTCTAGTGCCAGGATGATGGGTGTACACCAGCGTGCCTGCCCCTCATACTTTTCGGATCAGCTTGTCAAGTTTCTTGGTGAAGCCTGTTACTATTGTAGTTGCGTGGAATTTCTGGGTGATTCTGGAAAGAACTGGTATCTTTGTAATACTGACTCTTCCTGTCTGTAAATATGAGTATATGGGGCCAGGGGTATACTTCAGTTGCACAAGTGCCTTCCTGGCAAGCACAGGGCTCTGAGTTCAATTCCTAGCACCAAAAAAAAAAAAAAATGAGTATGCTACTCTGCTACTCTTTCTGTCTAAACCTTCACTGCATTTCATAAAAGTCGCACTTTTGTTGAATTTATTCCCATGTACCACATTTTTTGTTATTTACTAATTTCCATATTGCATTTTTTATTGTTTTAATATGTAGGAATTGTGGTTAGATGTTTCTATCACCTGCAAATCATGGCACTTTGGCTTCTTTTCACATCACCGTATGTCTGTCTTATACTTTTGCAATGTCTACGACTTCTGGGAAGATGTAAAGTAATAGTTACTAAAAGCAGTAAAGACGCGCACCGGTGTGGCAGTGTACTCCTCTCATCCCAGCACTCTGGGGACCTGAGGCAGGAGGGTCACATGTTTAAGCCCAGCCTGGGTACCCTCCTAACGTAACAAAATCCTGTCTTCAAATTTAAAAAAAATCTTAAAAAGGCCAGGAGTGTAGCTCAGTACAGAATCTCTGGGTTCAGTCACCAGTACCAGAAAAAAAAAAGATACGCTATGAACTAATGGTGTTTAGTGTTACCAGAGGCTTTGCTTTTTTTGTAACATTTCTGAAGTTTCATGCATGTACATGTGTGCGTGCACGTATGTGTGGCGCACATGTGTTTTTCCCATGGCAAGGTTGGTATCAGAAAAACCAGTAATTCTTTCCAAATAGACGCCTCCCTAGAAGTTTGCAGGCTCTCCTTCCCTTAGTCCTGAGACAGCATCAGTGCCTTGAGTCTGTCCTACCCTTCGGGCCTGGCAGGCAGGAGGACGGTGTGAGATCACTTCTAGATCATGGTACCATAATGTGTCTGTGCCCACTTAGCTGCAAAAGGTGATAATCTTTGGATTACCTTAAGAGGGCATGACAACAGGAGGCAGGGAAGGGGTGATGGCATTTGGTTCTTGCCCAGACAGGGCCATCAGGCGATTGGAACAGTAATTGTTCCTGACTCTTGTTTTCCTTCCAATCGTCCTCTGCCAGAAACTCATTTTAACCAGCAGTGCCAGTGTCGTCTTTGAGGGCGTCGACATCAAAAACGGAACCGAGGACCTCCCTTATGCCGTGAAACCCATCGACTACTACACTGAGACGAAGATCTTACAGGAGAAAGTACGTCCCGCGTGGGAGCAGCTGAGGGAGGCCTGGGTACCGAGCTTGGGGGAGAGGGGGTTAAAATCACAGGTAAAATTACATTTAAAATGCTAGGCACTAACTTGATATGGCCATCCCATGAGGTGGGTACCATTACAGATGAGGACGGAGATGCAGAGCGGGCCCGACCCTGGTCGGGGCACCTGAGTCCATGTGGCTAGGCCAGGCTGCAGTCTGGGTTGAGTGGATAGCCACTGAGCATTCAGGGTACCAGGGCTCCAGGCACCGTGGCGGCTGCTAGAGCTGTTCCCTCCCCTGGAGCCATCCTAGCCACAGGCTGTGGGTCCTCCTGAGCCCCAGGTCACATTCTCTGGGCACCTGTGACTGCCCCTCCAGGGTGTTGACAGTGTATCAAGTCCCTGAGGTTTCTTCTCTGAGCTTGGAAGCCTCCCCTGGGCTCCTCCACTGGAAAGAGCCCCAGTGCCCCAGAGCCCTGTGCACTCTTGGCCAGAGTCTTGGGGCTCCTCCATGACTGAGCCCGTGTATACTGGGGAGCTCCAAGTAACAGCCTGCCCCAGCCAGTCTGGGACTCGTCCATGGGGATTTTGGGTGGTCAGCAGTGCCTTCAGGTTTTGTCCCCTCTCCAGTCCCCTGTCAGTGGAGAGCAGCAGCTACGGGCCACTACCTTCTCACCAAGTGTGACCCAAAATGGTGTAGATCCAGGGTCCTGCAGCTGTGTCACATTAGTGGGAAACGAGGCTTGCTGGAGGCCACTGGAAGGCTTGATCCTTTCTCCCATGACCACAGGGACCAGGCCCTGGTGGCAAGATGCAGGGCCACTCTGAAGATGTACTGAAAGTGGGACCAGCTCCATGTTCGGGCAGCGCTGATGATGAGAAACCTCTGGGCCCAGCTGCTTTTGCCTGAGTGCTTCCCTGCATGATGGCATTGACTGAACCCAGGCCTGGGGGGACACATGCAGCCAGCACATGTCACACGAGCTAGCCACCCCTTAGGCGACTTATTACCTGGGACCCTGCTGTCTCTGGCTTGTTCCCCCTGCTAAGGTACCTCGTCCCAGCTACATTCCTGTGTTGCGGCCTTGGAAGCCAAACCCAGGCCTTGTGAGTCAGCGCCACCATCTCGTCCCTTGCACCACCAGGCTGGGAGGCTGAAGGGGATAGAGTGGCCCAGAACCATGGCAGTGGTGCACGTGGGTTGACCCCCCAAGGCAGACGTCACCCAGTGGCTGCATGTCCCCGTGGGAGATGCCGCACATCCTGGCTTGTCGTGGGCCTCAAGTTTGCCATGGCTACACTCCTCCTCCTGTTCCTTCAGACCGTGCTGGACGCCAACGATCCGGAGAGGAATTTCTTCACCACAGCCATCCGCCCTCATGGCATCTTTGGCCCAGGGGACCCCAATTTGGTCCCCGTCCTTGTCGAGGCAGCAAAAAAGGGCAAGATGAAGTTCATGATCGGGTGAGTCACTCGTTGCCCCCTGTTACCTGAAGGCCATGAGGGTGGATGTGGCCAGCGCCTCTCCGGAGCCTCCAGGGGTTGCCACGGGCCTTGGTGTGCTTCGCACACGCTCTGGGCATCTGCCTGCCTTGGGGTCGAAGGCTTGCCCTCTGCCAGGCTGGCCTCAGCTAAGCACATCTGCAGAGATCCCATTTCTACCAAAGGACATTTGCAAGCATTCCAGGGGCCATGAGTTTGGCGGGGGGGCTACTGGAATAGCCATGTATGCCCTCTCAGATATGTTGGGAAAGTACAGAGTCCATCAAAATAAAATGTATACACACTTCACGAAAAGAAAACTGGAGGGTATACACAGTTTTTTGGTGGCCTCTGTATTTCTGTCCCTATTTGAGAATGAACATGAAACGCAGAAGTGACTGGCCCAGACTCAAGGACCAGCCACCTGCTGTCAAAACAGGTGTGCTGGGGGGCTGGGGATTTAGCTCAGCAGCATAAGCGCCTGCCTTGCAAGCAGGCAGTCATGAGTTCGATCCCTGGTACCAAGAAAAAAGAAAAAGACAAAAAAAAACAGGTGTGCTGGGCAGGGGGCCGCAGCCCTCAGGGAGCACAGGTGGAGGGGCCCCTGCGGGTGGCAGCAGTGCGGCTGTCCCCTCCGATGCACCTGCTCTCCCTCCATTACGCATTTCTGTTTTCTTCCTCCTTCCTCTGTCCGTCTGCCTCTCACCCCGGCCTAGCCTTCCTGTTTCTCTCTGAGTTCACTGTCACCCTGACCTGTTGCTTTGGGAGAGTGCAAAGACACTGGCAGGAAGCCGCGTGGCTGTGAGCCCGCTGTATCCCGGGAAGGGGCTGAAGAGCTGCTGCCCAGACGAGCCCTGGAGGCTGGGCACCGAGCCTTCCGAGTCACTGGTTGTCCCTTAAGTATTCCACTGTGCCAGCACTCTGAGTGCACCCGGGACAGGCCACTGCGATGACCCAGGCAGTGGTGCCAGGGATGCTCCAGGTTCACGGAGCTTGCAGCTGAGCACGCAGCCTGATGGAACGTGCCCTTGTGCACCCACAGAAATGGGCAGAACCTGGTGGACTTCACCTTTGTGGAGAACGTGGCCCATGGTCACATCCTGGCGGCAGAGCACCTCTCCCGAGACGCCCCACTGTGCGGAAAGGTGAGGTGCCCACTCTCTCGGCTTTGACCTGGCCCCCTGGCTCCCTGTCCCCCCTCCCACTTCTCCCCGCCATCCCATTTGCTAGCAACTGCCCCTGGGACCCTGCATCATGACTCATCTGCCCTGGGGACCCCCTATGCCAGCCCAAGGCTGAGGGTCCTAGTCTAGGTCGCTGTGTCAAGGCAGTACCTCATGACTTGGGGCAGCTAAAACCCAGGCGCTGATGAGCTGCAGGTGAGATCTGCTGCTCTCTGAGGTATGTGCCCTGTCCACCTGTCTGCCCAAGTGGCCATTCCAGGCTGGGGCCACGTGCATCGGGAAGGGTGCTGCTCCTCACCATTATCCTCCTGGTTTTCCCCGTGGCCCCTCTGGCCGGATGACACCCCAGAGTCTCCTGACCTCTGATACCCAGAGGCAGGGGAGGACAGATGGTGGCCGTCTCTGCAGTGGGGCTGGTATGTGGTGGGGAGCTGCGGAGATCTGAGGGCCTGCTGGGCCCCTGCACCCCCCCCCTCCCGGGGCCCCTTATTTCTCTCATCTAGCTTGGGAATCCCTCCCACTGCCTGGCCCTCCCACTTTGTCACCAGGTGGCAATTGGGAAGAGGGTGGGTATCGTTTTTGGTTTATAACAAACAGCACCTTGGAGAAATGTAACATAACCCATTCTTGCATCCAAGGATAAGGTGAGTCTTAAGGTGGTTTGCAGGGGCTAAAGGCACATATCCACCTTGTTGGGCGCTGAAGCGTCACCAAAAGCCCTGGCCCGTAGCTAAAATGGGCATCACCTTTCCCCAGCCCTGAAGGCTGCCTGTGGGCACAGTTACAATCAGACCACGTGAAACACTGCCACGAGCAGGCGAAGGAGGAGGCGTGCTGTTCCCTCCCCATTGAGCTGTCCTGCTGAGGGGCCAGTGCAGGCTGGCAGACTGCAGGGCAGCCTCTGGGTCCCCACTGTAGAAGTACCACGCAGCTAATGCCTGTGCTCGTGTTCTCTCGCCAGGCGTTTCACATCACCAATGACGAGCCCATCCCTTTCTGGACCTTCCTGTCCCGCATCCTGAGCGGCCTCAATTATGAGCCCCCCAAGTACCATATCCCCTACTGGGTGGCCTACTACCTGGCCCTCCTGGTGTCCCTGCTGGTGACACTGGTCAGTCCCATCATCCAAATCCAGCCCACTTTCACGCCCATGCGGGTTGCGCTGGCGGGCACATTCCACTACTACAGCTGTGAGAAAGCCAAGAAGCTGATGGGCTACCGGCCACTGGTCAGCATGGATGAGGCCGTAGAGAAGACCGTGGGAAGCTTCCCCCACCTACGGAAGGTCAAGTGAGGACCCGGGCTGGCCACGTGCGCCTGCCCACCAGCTCTCCCCCTGCACTGACCGGTGAAAAGCCTTCAAAGAGCTTAGCGTGTCCTGCCTCCTGGGACCACAAGGATGCTGGCAACCACAGACCTTCTTTCCCAGCACGAGATTTGGATTTCTTAAAGGGAGCTGCTTCATGTTCTATGATTTCATTTTCCATCTCTGTCTTACTGTCTCCTCCCTTCCACTGTCTCTCTTTTCTCTTCCCTTGCCTCCCAGCCCCTCCCCTCCTCTCTGATTCTTTATCACAGCAGCCACCCCCTGAAGTCACCCATTTCATTCTCGTGGCCTTGTACGTAATAGCAGCCATGGGAAAGAAACAACCCCTTTGCGAATGCAGGATGAGAAACCAGATTATTCCCATGCAAACCAATACTAGAGTGGGAAGCCGCTAGACTACTGAAGGAGCTGTGCCTTAACAGTGTCCTAAAGAAAAGCGTAAGTCACAAACAAGTATGAGACTTCACATGTACATTTCATATCAACATAGTTTAGACCAAAACACACAGAGAACGTATAGACACTTGGAGCTTCCTGATTGATAGAGAAGGCCACTGGCTGTTGACATTCCATGCTTCATCACTCTCTTTTGAGGACTGTCACGGTGCTTGCCTGTATTACTTTTTATAAACTACTCTGGGTCATCAGAGTCCCGTTGTTTGTAGTGGCAAGTGGCAATCTGGTGCTCTGTTAGCTGCTAGGCTCTTCCCTGACACAGGGCCTGGCTGGTGCCGCCGGGGAGAGGGTGCTGCAGGGCGCTCCTGCTGCTCATGCTTAGACTCCTTGGGACCCAGTGCAAATAACCCTTCCGCCTTTTCTATTTTCTGGTGACGATTTGCTTCCAGAAGCTGGCTTCTTCTCAGACTAATCAAAATGTGATCTTGAAGATTCCCATGGTCTTCACCTCCATCCAAGGGGAGACCAGAATAAATGAACTCTCCAGGCTGTGCTGTTTGTGTTATGGGGTTGTGAGGTGGGCCACGTAGCTAGTGGGATGTGAACTCAGGTAAGACCCCGTCTCTGTGGCAAGCTACACAGTAGACACTCCGCACATTAAGAGCAACAACAACAAAATCACCCCGCCTCCCTGTGCATAGCAGGGAACCAGAGAAGTCCCAGAGGCCTGGGGAGGGGTGTGGCAGTGGGAGGACAATCAGGCGCCACTAAGCTAGCAGGCCTTGCTCAAGAGCCCTGGGGGCCACACTGGCCTCAGAGCTTCCTGAGGAAAATGTCAGCAGCCCGCTGGGACAAGGATGTTCCAGGTTCCACTCTGGACTGTCCAGCCCATCCCTACCTTTTCCGTGTTAGTCAGCTTTTCACCACTGTGAGGAAACACTGGCGCCCACTTTCTCACTTTTCCACTTGCACAAGTGTTTTGGGGCCTTTGAGGTGCTTGGGTGGGGACTCGGACACAAACCGATTCATAACTGGCAACTGCCCCAAGTTCCACAAAGGAGAAGTGCTGGGTGCCCCTCGACTTCCCCTGCTCCTCAGACCCCCTACCCTGACCCCCAACACCTTTGGAGAGAGTCCTTCAGCCTACAGCCTCTGTGGCCCCTGGGAGTTGTCACTGATCTGAGATAGGCTGAGTCTGCCACTCCAGTCCCCAGCCATGCTGTTGCTCAGGCCACTGAAGAAGCTCCCCCAGGTCCTTAGTCCCAGCTGGGGCCTCCCTTTGGGCCCTGCAGGACAGAATAGGCCCCACCCACAGGCCCAGGTTCCAGGGTCACCCCTACCTGATCCATTCCTGAAGGAACTTCGTGTGCCTCTCCTGTGTTGCCTTCCTGCCTGGGAAATTGGCCAAGGGAAGGTGGCTCTCCCAGCTTGCAGACAGCTCACAGCCCAGTGCTAGCTGCTGCATGCCCATCGGCTTAACCTCTGGTTTCACTCCTCCAGACACTGAACTTCATTCAGCACTAGGCCAGGTGTACAGTGACAGCCAGCTCCTCTGTCATCGTCTGCTGGTGTCTTCCGTGGCCCAGCCTCTGCACATACCCCATGTCCAGCCTAAAACAGCTCTAAGTCCTTGCCCCCCCCAGCCTTCACACCTACTGCCAACCAGCCACTCTGGGCCATTGTTTCTGCTCGTGCCTTGTCACACATACCCTCACTCAGATTGCCCCAACTGTCCCTGAGCCCCTCTGTCCCTTCCCCAAAAGCTGGCCTGAATCTGTCTTTCCTGGATACCCAGCTGGGAGCGGGCTCCTGATGTTTGCCAGTGTGTCCATGGCACAAAGTAGGTGCTTAGGAAACACAGGTAATTGGCTCCTGGCTTGGAATCCCACAGTGAGCAGCCCCAGCTGCAAGAGGGAACAGCAGTTTGGGGCAGGGGCCCCAGGCCCAGAGCTCTCGGGTTTCTTTAGGGGCTCTGGGGACTCTGTGAGATGGGCCCAGGCACTGGGTGTGTAGCTTTCACCAGCTGGGCACAGAGACCTGGGCCAGCGGCCTGGGGTGGAGGCTGAGGAAAGAACTAGAGCCCACTCAGAGCCAGATGTGGCCACAACAGATCGCAAAGCTCGGTGCAGATTTCTGGCCCGACTCTAGGCTCCCCTTGTGGAGTCTTGGCAGGTTACGTGCCTCAGCTGTGAGGTTCCCCTTACCGCCGCTCCACCCGCCTCCCAACAGCACATCGGAGCCACCTTTCACTGTCCCCAGCGTGGTTTTCCACAGGCCTCTGTCCTGTGGCTTCTTGCGTCTCCATCAAAGCGCGTCCTCAACCGTACAGGAGCCAAGACCTAGTGCCCAGACCCCTACAAACCGCTGTGTTCCTCCCAGCCAGGACCTGCAGGAGCTGTCCATCCGTTACCTGCCACTAGAAGGGCCTAAGAAGGGACTACAAGTCCCTTTAGTAGAGAAAGTCGGCAACCCCCACATTGGCCAGCTGGGGGAGCCCTAGAGAAAGAAACCATGGCCAAGGGCCCTCAAGGGCAGTTAGCAGTAGATAGAATTACAGGCGTGAGCCACCATATCCAAGGCAACTCTTGAGATTTTAAGATGGTTTCTAATCGCAGACACTGAGACACACACAAATACCACCAACTTCACCCCCCGTGGCATGAGGGGGAACGTCAAGTCAGAAAATATTTGTTGGGCACCCATTCTATTCCAAAGGGTGCAGAAGTGAGCAAGATAGAGCCCTTGCCTGCAAAGAGTTCATAGTCCCGTAGAAGAAGTGAAATGCAGGGATGGGAAACCATGATCCTGGGCTTCACTGGCACTTGCTACCTGCTTTTTGTTGAAAGAGTCTTGGTCATACTTAATCACAACCTCGCACACGTATTATCGATGGCTGCTTGTTTGCAACAATGACAGAATTTAGCCCGTCCCAAATGTTTATTCCTTCACCCTTCACAGTAAAAGTTTGCCAGGTTTGTTTTAAGAGTGACCGATAGTCAGGGGTGTGGGTAGTGTACATCTATAAACTCAGGAGGCTGAGGCAGGAAGACTGAAAGTTTGAGGCCAGCATGGCCAACTTAGCGAGACCCTGTCTCAAAATAAAACGTCAAAGTGGGCTGAGGAGAAGCTCAATGTGAAGCCCTAGGTCCAGCCCCCAGCCAAGCAAACCAAACAATGACCAAGAGTCAGCAAAGAATGTGAGCAGATGCTCAATGTGACTAATAGTGCAGCCGCCCAGAAAACCATCTGGCTTTGCCCACAGAGTGAGCCAGCAACCGCACTGCTGCGTTCACATCCAAGGCAATCAGAAGCAAGGTCTCAAGGTGGGGGCCGTCCACATCACAGCAGCGTGCTCACGGGAACCCAAAGGGAGGAGCAAGCCGGGCGCCGGCCAGGAGACGAATACGCCCTATTCACACCACGGGGTGTTATCAGTCCAGAGGGGCAGGGGATTCTGTGTCACAACACAAATGCGACTTTGAGGAACATTATGTTGAGTAAAATAAACCAGTTGCCAAAGGACAAATCCCGTGTGATTCCATTTGATCCTCAAAGAGTCAGTAGAATTTGTGTTCAGTAGACATTTGTGTTTGTATGACCGATGAAGTGTAAAGAAAGGGGACAGAGCAGGGGCCCAGGGTGGAAATGCTTTATGAGATGTGATGAAAAATGCAGCGAATGCTGACACCAAGTGCCATCCAGCAGAAGGACAGCTGGTGAATCTGTATCGGGCGTCCTCATCCTCCTCGTTCACCGGATGTGGTACCTTGTGACTTCTGCCTCTTGCCGAGGATCAAAATGACCAGAAAGGTAAGCATTCTGAATTGATTCAGGACATGGAGGCAGCCACAAAAGTGCCACCAAAGAAACTCACGAAAGGGACTTCAAGGCCTGCTGCAGAAAGTGGCAAGAAGATGGGATTGAGTGGGATTAATGGCAGTGTCTTTTAATGTAATAATTTTTTTAAAGAAAAGGAAAAACGTTAACCGTATATTCAATCATACCTCATAAACACAAGATCTCATGGAATTCCTGGCCTAGGAAAGTGACAAATCACAAGGCTGAGCAGCCATGGGGGGCTTGGAGCAGGAGACGGCACTGTCCTAGTGGGTGGCTCACTTGTGCCCAAAACAGAGGTCACACCCTGCCCACGAAACTCCCTTCCTTCCTCCGTCTCATCCTCTTTCTTCCTCAATGGTGATTTTCTTAAGGACACATTTCCTAAGACATTTTGGGGGTCCTACCCAGCAAGCCAAGGACACCCAGATTTGTTTGAGTGCTTTTGCTAGGAGCGATTGGGGGAAGGGCCAAGGACGAATGCTGAGCAAGATGACAGGAGTGGGTTTGTGGATGGAGGGCCCCCCTCTGCCAGGGAACGCATTCAACAATGTAGCGAAGGACACCTGACCAGGCGCTCTGTCCCGAGACCCTAGCAACAAGTCTATTGAGTCCATCAAGGTCTGTAGTCATCTTCACTTTCTGTGGGAAAGCCCAAAGCCTCAGAGAGCAAAGAAGTCTTCTTAGCCACACAGCTAGTTAGGGGCAGAGCTGGGCCCAGACACCCCAGCCGGCAGCCCATCAGCCTGACATTTGTGGCTTTTGGGGGTAGCTCTGAACCCTCCACACTGGCCAGGAGCACCGCTTACTTGCAGCCACTGTATCAAAGTACCACCAAGCCAATGCCTTAAGGCAATGCAAATTAATTCTCTTATATTTTGGAGATCACAATTTCAAAGTCAGTTTTACTGAGCGCAAGTCAAGGTGTGTCATCGGGGCTGGTTGCTTCCAGAGGCCCTGAGTGCAAATTTCATTCTTTGGGCATTGTTTGGCTTTAGTGGAAGTCTGTTTTCCCTGACTTGTGGCCTCCTAGTCTTTAAAGCCCATTGTTCTGATCTCTAGGTTTAGTCCGCCCCCTGGTGAGGACACTCGAGGCTGCACCTAGCGCCTCCCAGAGTCTGCCCAGTCTCTCAGAGAGGCCCAAATGGAAGATGGCTCAAAAGGCAGGCAAGTCCTAACAGGTTGCATTGCCACAAAACCAGGGTGGGACAGGCCTTCGAGCTGGCTGGGAAAGGCCAGCCCTTTGGTAAAGTGCCCGAGGGTTGCCCACCTGATGCTCTGACCTGCCTCACAAAGGCCCCTGCTTGACTTTCAGCAGGCCAAGGCCCTTGAGAAAACCCTATTAGATTGCTTGCACCCTGTCTGCCCAAATTACTAGGTAGGCACCAACTAACTGCAAAATCTGTACAGAGGTCATGGACAGGATAGTGCTGAGAAGTGTGGGTGGATGTAGTGACCCAGGTGAGTGAGTGCTTGTCCCAGAACTGTCCCGGGCTCAGGATTGGGATCTCTAATACCAGGTCTGCACCTCAGGTTCCACCAAATGTGGGACTCAAACTTGGACATAGCAGTAGCGGAGTGACCCTGAGAGGCTCAGCTGAGGCTCCCTGATACAGACCATCTATCCATAGCCCATCCAAGGGGGCTTCCAACATGGGCCTCGGTGGTACTGATGGCATGTCGTAAGGCAAGGGCCTGTAGAAAAGGCAGGG